AAACAAACAAACAAAAAGAATGGTTGAAACAACTTCCAGGTCAGTAGGTCCAGGCCTGAAACCGCCCCTGTCTCTCTCCACTCCTGCTTTGATCAGCAACAAGTCATGGGCTAGAGGCGCTATTGGCCCATGGAGCCAACTCCTTGGGTGTCTTGGGAGATCCTAGCCTGCTTAGGGGAGATCTGTTACTGGCTTCTCTCCAAAGGATTCCTTTAGGCCTCATAAAATAAGATGTCCTGTGTGAAATGCTTTGAAGTTTGCCAACGATTTCCTCCACAATTCTTATTTAAAAGTTAGATTCTCACATCTACCCCACAGGTAGTAGGACAGGTGTTACTATCCCCACATTTACATTTAGATTGTATTTAGAATCACAAGGTAGTGATGGAGCCTGGTCTAACTGAGGTCTCCCGATCTCTTAAGCCCCGGACACTTTCTCTTGGTTTCCTCTGACTGCCTTTGGAATCTTTCCAAATATTGTTATAGCCTAAACTCGGAAACCCTGGACCACCTGTCTTTCCTGTAGCTTAGAAACAAGTTGGAGAAGTTCCCCCGACTCAGCGACTCAGCGACTCCAGGGACTCACTGCCAGCCCTGGAAGGTCCACCCCTCAGGCTTGGTTAGAGGCACTGGGACCTGATAAGCTTCTTAGAGGAGGCGGGTATTAGCCAGGATTGGATATTGTTCCCCGGAGGTGCCCTTCACACCTGACCTAGCCTTTAATTAGGATTGCATGGGGGGGGGGGGCAGGAGAATGGAGTGTTTCTTGCTGCCCAGCTTCAGAGCTACCCTCTGAGACCCGGGATTCTGACAAGTTTCCTGATTTGAGAAGACACCCTGATGTCCAGGTCTGAAGGTAAATGTTATAAATGGGTAGGAGGGATCAACTGGGGTACCAGCTCAAATATGTTACATAACACGAGCACGCCAGAGAGACCCTCTGGAGTGTCTGGGAGGTACACGTGGGCTTGTGACAAAGCGTTGAGTTCATGGCGAGGGGTAGGGTGACTGCAGGAAGATAGAGAAAAGAAGACAGAAATCAAGGACAAAGAAGAAAGCTCACTCCTTCCAACTCTGCCTTTTGCTTGTCCCTCTTTTTAAAAAAAACAATTGCATTTGCATCTCTAATTAGCGCCCTGTGCTAGAAAGATTAGAGAGCTAGGAGGCTCAGCTGCTGCGGTGCTCACTTTACTGCGTGGTGCCAAGGGAGTCGCATCACCTCTCTGGAACTCAGTGTCTTCATGCCTCACAGGAGGAGGTGCACTAGACAGATCATCGGTCAGCTCACTTTTTTTTTTTTTAGGTTTTTGCCATAGGGGCTGTGTGCTCACCAGGGAGAGAGGGAGAAAGACAGAAAGAGGGAAAGTGAAAAATCGCCCTGCCAGAGGGATGGCCACACCATAATCCCCTTTCCTCCATTCTCCTTCTCGGATTCTGGCCACACACGCACATGTACCCAGCATGAATTTCAAGCCCCTGGGTCTGGGACTCGAACTGAGGTCAATCATGTGGGAGTCCAGTACCTCAACTACCACGCCACCTGCTGTCCTTGCCAGCTCACTTCTTTCGTTCTCTCTTTCCTTTCTTTCTTTCTTTCTTTTTCTTTTTTTAACAGAGAGTTTTTATTATTTTCAACAACAGAGAAGAATTAAGCTTGAAGTCTATGGGAACTGAGTCTCCCACAAGAGGTACTGCAAGGGAACCACACACTCCTGTGATGAGCAAGGAGGAACCCACTGAAATCTTTCCTGCAGGAAACCAGACACCATCCAGAGCTAGCACCTGGGAAGAGACAGGTTACTCTCTTGTGGGCCAAGTCTTTACTAAAGTAGGTGAGAATCACAGCTGTGATGCCAACTCTCACGGTCTCTTGTCCTGCTACTCTCCAACTGCATCCTCCTCTGTTCTTTGGCCACAGTGTTTGATTTTGAAGACCATGTTGAACAAGCAAAGTCTCTGTCACTGAGTCTGAACTGTCATTTGACTTGGAAGATGTGCTTCACGTTTTTTCTTCTTTTCCTTTCCTTCCTTTCTCTTATGCTTTCCTTTCTTCTTCTTCTTTGTGTGTGTGTGTGTGTGTGTGTGTGTGTGTGTGTGTGTGTGTGTTTCTCTTTATATTCTGAAGGACTGGAGCTGCTCTCATCTTCCTCTGAGGTGGACTCAATTCCTCCAGTAACTTTTCATTTTTGTATCCTTATATCTTTTTGTGTTGTTTATTCTCTCGTATAATGTCATACATGGGGTCTTCATGTGCTTCTCCAAATTGTTCTAACTTTCGGTTGTCTTTGATAAAGAAAGGGCATTCTTTGTTGTCGGTTCGATGCAATGCCAGCACTGCATAACTTTGACTTCTTTCCTCAGTGGCATCCAAAGTCCTTTCATTGAGGCATGAGCCAGAAATTCCCTTGCACGCTCAGTGCCTGGCACATCTGGTGTATAGTCTTCTGGCTTCATCTCATCCCAGGAGGATGTGCTTACCCAGTTTCTCCTTAGCAACTCATCTTCTGGGACTCCCTCCCCTCGTCCCAGGAGTTCTGTTTTTCCCTCCCTCCCCTTCAAGGAACTCCACACCCTGCTGCACATTTTTTTTTTAATTTTTGTTTATTTTTTTCATCCATGAGTGAGACAGAGAGACAGACATCCCCAGTAGGGTCTTCACACCATGGCTCATTCCCAGCTTTAGCCACCTTCAAGTCATGAGCATGAGTATTCCCAGAGTGTTCAGGGACATCTCCAATGTGAGACTGGGACCTTCCCAGTAGGTCATGTGCTAGGCAGTTAGCTAGTAATGAGCGGCAGCCCCCATTGTCCCCTCTGCACAGGAATCCCTAACTGCTGTTAGGGACACAAGGGTCGAAGACCATTCTGATTTGAAAATAGGCAATGATGAGGGGGAGTAATAATTAAGGATCCTTTACCAGAGGTCTATCTAGATATTTCCTGGTCAATGCACCAAAAAATGATGCAGGAACACGGGGCACAGGGGTGATTGGGCTATACTTGCAGTGAGACACAGGTTCTTGTCCCATGCTCAGGAAGAATGAGAGTAGCGGACACAGAGAGTAGGGATAGCAAAGGGGGGAGTTTATTAAAGGAGAGGGAAGGGAAAAACAGAGCTCTCAAGAAGGGAGGAGTCCCAGAAAATGGATTAGTTCCAGTTCACTTCTAATGTATTATTATCGTATAAAAAAATCAATCATTTCTAGTTATTGTTTTGTTATAATCTGTGCCCATTGACTAGATATTTAATAACTATTTACTTGGGCTAGGCCTCAGTGCCCTTCTTTATAAAATGAGGATTCTTCGAGGGCCTTTCATTTTCTTCTCTCCTGCATCCTTGTAAAAACTAATCCTTTGTAGCCTCGATCATGTACAATGTTTTAGACAGACCTTACATGTGTTGGGTCTTACTATGTATATAGGCATTATTATTACAATTAGATTAACATAAATGTAAAGCATTTTAATATGCACAGGATCAAAAGGTCAGACCAATAGGTTACAGAGTGAAAAGTCTCCCTCTGACCTCTGACCCTCAGTTCCCCTTCTCCAGATGTCCGGCCAGAGATCACCTTCACGTGACCCACATACGTCATCATGCCCATTTCACAGGGAGACGCAGCAGCTCAGCCTGGCTGGGGTAACACAGCTGGTAAACAGCAGAGCTGGAATCCAGAACTTCAACTCCGTTCCCTACATCCTGCCCACCACACCACACTTCTGAGAAGCTCCAGGCAGTTTTTTCTTTCTTTCTTTCTTTCTTTTTGCCTGAAGGTGCATGGGTTCAACAAACGGAGAGAGAGAAAGTGAGAAAGCACCCCCACAGGGCATGGTCATGGGGCAACTCCTCCATTTCTCCCGTCTTCCAGGATTTGGGGCCTGCACGCACAGACACCTAGTGTGTTTCTCAAGCCACTGGGTCCAGGACTCAAACTACTACGCAGTGGGCCATGTAGGATCTAGCGGCCTTCAACACCATGCTGCCCTCTGGCTCATTAACTCCTAAGCTTTACCCTCTGTGGATGTTATAATAGAGTGATTTTAAGTCAATCCAAAAATACACACTGGCCTCCACTGCTGCCTCTTTTGTCCACAGGTTAAAGCCATATTTCCCTGTCCCCGTCTGCCTTTAACACAGGGACATCTGTGGCCTGGGTACCAACTGCGGTTGAGTACCCAACATCCTAGGCTTGGGCCCGGGGAGTACTGGTATACCTTTTCTGGGGAGCCCAGGAAGGACCGGATGGACTCCATGGAGCACCCAGGGCCAGCTCAGGAACATGGGCTGCTGGGTACACAGCCCAGAGGACCCCGGGTACTCCTCCTGCAAAGAGTGGGGTGGGGTAGTTTGCTCCAGCCAAAACAGCTGCCCTCAGCAAAGGCCCCTGCGTGATGCTTTTGTGTCCCTAGGGCTTCTGTCACCGCTCTCTTCTAGGCATGGGTGTTGTGGATCCCAGATTTCCTCTTAGGGGCAAATAATCTCTTTTCCCCCCTCCTAGGTCTGTAGGTACCTTCTGGCTGGGCTTTATGGAGAAATATTCCCTGATCACCAGCCTGCATGCCAGAGCAGCCTCCGTCTTTCTGTGGACAGAATGAGAAGCCTTCTGTAACTAGACGTAGCTGGCAGTCATGGGGAGACTGATCAAGACGGGGCCGCAGGAGAGGCGGTTACTCCGGCCAAAGCGGCTTCACTGGAGTCGCCTCCTCTTCCTGCTGGGAATGCTGATCATTGGTTCCTTCTACCAGCACCTGAGGAGACCCCATGGCCTCCCCTCACTGTGGGCAGCAGTCTCTTCCCAACAGCCGGTGCAACTGGCCGGCCGAGGTGTCCCTGATGACGAGGTGATGACGGTGAGCAGCGACCCTCTGAAAACCAGCTCTGAATTGCAAGGAGAGATGCAGGCACCCAAAGCCCCAGCGGGCAGAGAGGAAGTAACACCCACCATGACAACAAAGAACACCCCAAGAAGAACAGCTAAGGTCACTCCGTCAACGCCCAGGAATCATTCCAGCCTAGCAACAGCAGGCAGAGAAAGAAGGAAGGGAAACACCCCAACCACACCCAGTGGAGCACAGAATCACTATGTCCCAACTTCAAGCAGACAAGCTGTAAAAACTTACACCCCAACATTTGGGGGGGAAATGAAGAATGACGGCCCAACTAACGCCAGGGGAAAGGTGAAGAAGTATACCCCACCTGCACCTGCTGAAGTAGACACGTTCGCACCGTCCACGTTCACCACGATGGAAACAAGCCGTGTGATTGCCCCCAGGACTGCGGGGAAAGACGGGGAAACCGTGGCTGCCTATAAAATATTGGAGGCCAATGCTCTCAAGAGAATAGCAGAGGACACTACCCCAACTACTCTCGGGGTGATAGTTGATAACACCCCAACTTTCCTGACACACGAGGGGGAAACAAACATCTTGACTTCTGCAAAGAGCACAGTGGAAAAGAACAGCCCGACTACATCCAGCAGAGAGGGAAAGAACAGCTCAGTCAACCCCTGGAGGTCCGTGGGAAACAGCAGCCTGACGACTCCCCAGGAAACAGCCCTGGAGCACACCCCAGTCCTGGCCGAGGACCACGTGACAAGAAGCCCCACGTCAGGCAGCAGTCGGGTAGAAACCGAGGTCCCCACTGCCGCCTGGAGGATCAGGGGTCTCTCACCCAGAGCCGGTGCACCAGCCATCCAGGCAGCCTCAGCCCCCAGCGCCTCAGCAGACCCCAGGCCTAGGGCAAATCCGACCATGCGGGTCCGTCACTGTGTGGTGGTGGAGCCAGCCCCGGCCAGGCCTGCCACCCACTCCCCAGGCCTGAGTACCACCCTGTTCCCAGAGCCACCAGGTCCCAGTCCCTCAGCACTGTCCTCCACCTGGCCGGGCCTCTCCCACAGCGGGGAGTACCCCCAGGACCTGTTCAGCCTGGAGGACCGGCGGCAGGGCTGGGTGGTCCTGCACATCTTCGGCATGATGTATCTGTTCGTGGCCTTGGCCATCGTGTGTGATGAGTTCTTCGTCCCAGCCCTGGGCGTCATCACAGACAAACTGCAGATCTCCGATGATGTGGCCGGGGCCACATTCATGGCTGCAGGAGGCTCCGCACCCGAGCTCTTCACTTCCCTCATTGGCGTCTTCATCTCCCACAGCAACGTGGGCATCGGCACCATCGTGGGCTCCGCCGTGTTCAACATCCTCTTTGTCATTGGCACCTGTTCGCTCTTCTCCCAGGAGATCCTCAGCCTCACCTGGTGGCCTTTGTTCCGCGACGTCTCCTTCTACTTCCTCGACCTGATGATGCTCATCCTCTTCTTCCTGGACAGCCTCATCGCCTGGTGGGAGAGCCTGCTGCTGCTGCTGGCCTACGCCCTCTACGTGCTCACCATGAAGTGGAACCGGCAGATCGAGCGCTGGGCCAAGGAGCAGCTCAGCCGGAGGCCGGCAGCCAGGGTCACGGCCCGGGGCGACCTAAGCAAGGTAAGGAAGGCTGGCTTGAGCTTCTCTCGCTTCTTTGGAGTGAAAGGTAGGGGCAAGGCCAGGGACTGAAGAGCAGAAGGTGTTGGGTCCAACCTCGGAGAAGGGCGCTCTGCTTCCCTTGCTATTTCCCCCACATCTGCAGAATGCCTGTTCTCTGCCAGGCACCATGCTGGGGCTGTTGCATGACCCTCAGCCTGACCCTCCTCACCCTGCCCAGTGGTTATTGTTATATTTTTCTTTTTTTGGAGAGGTTTTTGATATAGGGCACGTGCACTCACCAGAAAGACAGAGAGAGACAGAAAGTGAGAAATCACCCCCC